GCTCTCAAACTGTATCTTAAATTCCGTGGATTTCAGCCGCGAATTTTTCCGACTTCGCTAACGAGGAAAGATCTCGAGGTCACCGATTTTTGACAAGCCTCGGATATATCGCGGAGGAAATATATATATATATATATATATATAAAATAAAGAGATATATTATTCTAGAAATGATTTCTCGCACGTTCGGGCAAGTTGAAAAACAATCTCTCGAGGCCGATTTCATGCGTTTGATTATGAGCGAAATTTCTGAAGCTGCGAAAGATATATGAGAAAATATCTCACACGAAAGTATTCGATTTATAACTATGTGTTTGGATTCAAAAGTTTCGCATTTTTCAAAATACCCTCACAGATGCAGAGGCAAAGGTGCATGAGGGAAACGTGAAAGCGGTAAGATTTAAGCGATAAGAAAATTGATTAATCACAGTCAATTATTCCTCCTTACGGTCGAAGAAGAACCGACCTTCCTTAATCATGATCGATCAATTTGTTTGCCGCTTATGTTTTACCGTTTACACCGAGAAAAGAACGGTTGAATCGACGATCATTGCGAGAAATATCGTATCCGCTGAGCAGACTACGCGTTGGCGCAACAATACGTTGCGTTGACACAGTTGCCGGCCAAATTGCAATCGTTGAATCAATCGATAACTCATCGCAACAATCGTATAATTTGCTCAATGAACTAAACGTTGCGCGTGAAACGCAAATTTTGTTCGTTCAAACAAAGTTTCGTCGATCCTACCACTTTTTTTCGCACAATATACGTTTTTGCGCGTGCGATGAACCGAAGTGAATGCAGAAGGCGTTACGTCCGGCCGCTTGACGCCGCGAAGTAGACACAGACGTCCCGCGATCCGTCCGTTGGAACGCGCGGAAAGTAGATGCAGACGCGCGGCGCGTCTGTCCGCTTGTGACGCCGCGAAGTAGATACAGACGCGCCACGTCGGTCCTGCTTACGCGCTGCAAGTAGATGCGCACGCGTTACGTCAGACCCACTAGTGTACGTTGTAAGTGGATGCGTCGGCTTCGCTCGTACGTTTTACTTCGCACGATTCGAAAAACCCGATTAATCACGAAATATGCGAGAGAACAAAACACGTGTCTCTTGTTTTCGGCTTATCTACATATCTAAGACCATATTAATAGTTACTTGCCTCAGGTGAGATACTCATGTATGAATGTAGGATTAGATGTGAGCTCTTCAATTGAATCACGATTACAGATTATGTCAAGTATTATATTTATTATGTATTTATTATGTATTATGTGACATTATGTATATCGTATGGTACGATTAAGAAACACAGATCTGACTCTAAATTTAAATTCAAGTATCTTATGCGAGGCGAGCTTCGGCTAACGACTATTAACACGGGCCTCGTTAAGGGGATGCCGTATTTGAAAACATTGCCGGAAGAATACGGACTTTTTTCTGCAATGTTTACATTATCGACATTTATAAGTTCATCATCGATCCTGGCGGATTAAAAAATAAGAGACATTCCCGAATCTTCGCTTGTTAAGTCTGTTATAAAATAATATGCATTCGATCATTCAAACTAAAACGTTACACTTTCGATACACTGGATTTTTTTTAAAGGTCAAATTTAGTATCAACGATAAGGCTGACGCCCGATTTCCAGCGAGTTTCTCAATCCGGATTTAAGTCACTTGCAAAGGAAACGAGTGTAACAATTTGGTTTCTTCTTTCGCTCGATAGAAATCGACCGATCTGTTTCTTTTTTCCCCAAGGACGAGGCTTCCTGACGACGGCTTCTCACGGGCGAGCAGAGCGAACGCACCGAAGTCGTGCGTTAACGTACGTGCGTTTTCCCGCGGAAAGCCATTGCCATGTTGAGACGCGTCACCCGGTAATTGCGATTTATTTCTCTTAATCGCCGCGTAAACGGCCGGCGATTTATGCGGCTCGAGTTAATTTCGCGCAATTATATAATTACCGGCTGTGCAGCGGCGGTCGCGCGCAGCGCAGAGCCTAATCGGTTTGCCGAGCGGAGCGCCGTAATGGCGGCACTTAAATTTAAAGACACTTCGGCGACTTCGAGTCACCCCTCGTCCAACCCCGCTCGTCTCGCCCTCCATTACTCTTCGCGAGTCCCTTGATCCTCCTTCGGTGCCGAGCTCCCGCTAAGTTCTTCTTCGTAAGCCGAAGTTTGTCCCCGCAGTTGATAATGATTAGAGCGCGCGCTCTTCCATAAATGACGAAAACTTCGCGATCCATCTGATCCGCAAGTTTGTTCACACGTGTGTCAACTTGAAAGATCCAGAGGCTCGAACACGAAGGCAGAAATGTTGCGGACTGTAATTTGTACTCTGCGAACGACGAAAACGGGGCCGAGCGTTTAATTATCGTCTGAACGGGAAGATCGTGTCTTTTTAGTTCACGAGACGCTTTCGTTATCGTCGACTTTTTCCGCGAAATTGCTCGTCCGCGCGCGTGCATATCCTTCGTTTGCAAAATACGTAATGTAATGGTGGCTCTTATTTTTACCGCGCGTCAGCCGCGTTCTGCCGCACGAATAAGTGGGAACAGCAAGAAGGATGGCGGAGGGTCGGGATTCATTTTGCGGCACGATGCTTGGTCCCGGGGTGTATAGTAAAGTGAGGGTACAAAATCGATACCAGGACCCTCCTCTCCCCCTTCTCGGGATGGATGTCACTGTTTCCACGCTTGGCAGCCATGCCTTTCGCCTAAGGAGAATGGAATTCAGGCAAGCTAGAATCTTAGCAGTCGAGAAAGTTAGATAGCACTCGGAAGGAGCTAAGAATTCACACTTGACTTTTCAGTCCCGCTGTGTAAAATCCAACAAACTCGCTTGCCAAAATAAAATAAAAGATTGCTTCTCCAAAAATATAAAATTTACGCTGTCCGAGATGAGTAAACTCTCTGCAATGGACGTGAATTACACTGGTCGGCAAATCGTAGCTTCCTGTCTGTATCCGGAATGAAAGCAGTTGTTCCTGAATGGTTTTCGTCTGCTGAACACGAATCCAAACTTGCCTATTGGGTCACAATTTTGAGAACAATGACGTCGAAGAGACCGAAAGCGCTAATTTTGAGAATTTCCGTAACCGTTGTAGCACCGGCAGAAAATTCTCCCCCTTGAATTTCATTAACACGCAAAAGTCTCAGCTTTCCGGATAACGGGAATCTTGTTGACCGGTGTTATCTAACTTCATAAAAAGCGATATAACAATGTTGATTTTTATTGAGTCGTAGAGGGTAAGGACGGCAAAAACAAAATATATGAATATAAAAGTAAGGAGAATTCCAACGTATCGCAGCGCCCTTCTCATTTTCTTTGTCCGACGTGTCGTTCGTCGACGCGTCGTCGGAAATTGCAAAGAAATACGTATACGAAAAATCGTATGCGACTGCACCAGGAGTAAACGGAAGGGCATGAAAGTTGCGCTAGGGTGCAGGGAAATGGGAGTGGTCTCTGTAATCACGATGGGCGTGGTTTTTCACGGCTTGCTGCAGCTGCATCCCATGGGGTGCGCAACCGGATTTCTGTCACTTTTACCGCGAAATAAATGATCCGTTCCGAGCGCGCGCGCGCAAAATTAAACGATGAAATGAAAGAAAAAAAAACAAACAAAAAGGAAAGAAAACACGAATCGAAATATAAAACCACCTCGGTCGAGTTATGCGAGCAATGCGAGCGCGTCGGACTAAATTGAATCGTTCTCGCATTTCGTCCCGAGCAAATTATCTAATTTGCATGTAATTATTATTCTCTTACTTCGCACGTATTGAAATTAATTTCCGGACTGTTCGCACGACGCGACGTCGCCTACCTTTTTCTTCTTCCATTCCGGAAGACTCGACATTACGGAGGAAGGCAAATTTCCGCCGACAGCTCGCATCCTCGGCCGCGATCGAATTCCTCGGTGAGTTTTCTTCGCGGCGGAAAGCATGCATCGAGAAATGTCATTTTTCCAGGCCGCACAATTTAACGCTATCTTTCCACCTCGCATTATTCACCGAAGAGCGGCGCGCGTTCAAGGAGCTGAGCTCGGCCATCGGCGGCGGCGGTAGGATCCTGGACGGCGCGGCAGGAGCGAGATGTTTTGCGGCCGAGTCCGCAGCTTTTTGCACTGCGGACGATTTCGGTGGGTGAACCGCCGAAGAAGGAGGCCGTATGGATCGCGGCTCCCATTAAGCCCTTATTAATTGCGAGCATCTGAGGGACCGACCGATCTTTCTTGCGCTACCTGCGCGCCATTCCGTTTGGCCAAGTCGAGCTCGTCCTGTTGTCGTTCGACACAGTCAGGACACGGAAGGGCCTTTGATGCGGAGTCGATATGCCGACGAGACGGGTATACGAGTATACCGGATGAAGCAATGCTGCCTCGCGAGGACGCGATAAATCAGGAATAGCGGCGGCGACGGCGGAAGCGGCGGCGCTGTGTCGTTGGCTCGGTCGGTTTTTCCAATGACGAATGATGACGTTAAAAGCCCTGTCTACAGCGAGAATTTCCGACGCAAGGCTTAACTTCTGAGCCTTAAGCTCGGAGAAATTGACCAATCACAATCGATTATTCTTCTCACTTCATTCGAATTCGGTCCATTTCTCTCGGCATGAGGCTCCTGGAGTAAACAAGGGCAGTCATAGCGACTGCTCAGGAATCTTGGAGCCCGTATTCTCAACTCTCTTTTATCGATAAAAGTGCCTCTGAAAATGACTTAGAAACCACTGATTGGCTGAAAAGTCACATTTAAGGTGCTTTTATCGATCAAAGAAATTCTGAACGATCTTCGCGATTGGTTTGCCGACGTTGAACGACTATCTTCTCGAATTCTTTTCTCTCTTTCTCTCTCTCTCTCTCTCTCTCTCTCTCCTTCTTTCTATTTCTCTTTCTCTCTCGCTGAGACCCGAACCGATCTAAATAAATGCTCGAACGCGTTCCCGAAATAGATCCGCTCCGTTGCGTATTCGTCGTTGACGAAACCAAACATGGAAAAGTCTACTTACTTACCGGAGAGGGGTGCGTAGTGGCCGTGAGGATAAGGCGGCGCCGAGGACGCGTCGACGAGAGACTGCGACGGCGTCGCCGACGTCCACTCCTTGTAGGTCGCCGCGGCGTGCGCGTGATGCGCCGCGTGGTGAGACGTGTGATGACCGAGGCCGCGTGCACCACCCAGAAGAAGACCCCCGTAGCTCGCCGCCGCCGCCATATTATGGTGGTGGTATTCGTGCACCGCCCTGAGGGATTCAATGCACGGTTGCGAGGTGAGGGACGAGCCTGAGAGAGAGGCGCTTGATATTTCGCGGAAGCGCGACTTTTGCGCGCGCGTTGGATCGTTGGAATTAATCAATCACCGGACGCAAATCTGTCCCGTACAACCGCACTAAGCTGTCACTACATTTCAAACGAAGTAGACACATATTTGACTTATTTGGCGGAGGAGAGAAGAAAATAAGAATATTGCACAAGATGGAGAGTTCGAAAAGCGCAGGTATGAAGAAGAACAGACCGATTGGCTCGTGTTTCGCGGATGAAAATAGCGTCCTGAGCGTGCTACATGATTTTATTTCGGTTACGATGTGATCAGTCGAGATCGCAGCAAGACGCACAATGTAGCGTAATATTCATCGCGACAGGTTGATACGGATTTTACTCCGGACACTTGTACATAGAAACGTTGTGATACTACTAATATAACACTGGTATCGACATTTCTCTTTCAATATCAAAGATTTTTACATCGATATATTTCCTTTCGATATTCGTGCCGATATTACTTGATATCTCTTCGATATCTATTTTTAATTTTTACTCAGTCTCAACCTTCCAGATATGTTTTCGCCTTATGAAAATCATTGTAACACGCAACTGTTTAGTATCGATACTTTCATGGTATCGCAACGTCCCTGTTCATGACTCTACGTGAGAACTAAGAACCTTCGCATTGTTAATGTTTTCGACGGCACGGACCGAAAGGGATGAGCCGAAAGGTAAGGAGGGAAGAAGAAAAAGAGAGCGACGGAGAAAGAAGAAGACGAAGAAGAAAAGAAGAAGAACAAGAGGAACAGCGACGCGCGTTTAAAAGCGAAAAAGAAGAGCGCGAGCATGTGAAAAATACTGAAAACCGTCGGGAGCAGGTAACGCCGAGATCTTTAGCACTGATCCGGCCGCGGCCGTCGTATAAATTACGAGTCTGTCACCGTCGCCGTAGGAAAAGGACGGAAGGTATCGGCGAGTTCCTTTTCCTTTTTTCTTCTTTTCTCCCCCCTGCGTTCAATTTCCCTCTCCTCGCGTTCCCACGTGTAGCGTGTAACTCTTTCGGGACTTTACGATTTTTTTCGAGAACGTCTCCGCCTCGACGCGTCCCCTTAATCACGCGCACGGAGCCAACAATCATACCGATGACTAAGCGTCATATCGCACGGATTGAGAGTACAGAGTGCCAACGGTCTACGTCTCGAACGTTGCGCGCGAGTATTATGTGCGCAACGGACGTTGCGTGAAGAACAAAATTGAAGAAAAAAATAACGGGACACGAGTATAGTTAATCCGACGTGACTGAAGATCGCATTTAGAAAATACGCATGGTCTGTCTCACTAATTAAAGCCCGAGCTATGTAGCATTTAATGGCGCGCGCGCCTTGGAAAAATCCTCCAGCATGTGGACCCGGTTTTACGTCCCCGGATGGTGCTGGAGCTACGCGCGATTACTCGATCGCTCGAGGAGTTCGCGCGCGTCTAAGAGTCAATGGGACATCGCGTCGATATTCCGTCGCGCAACATTGTGAAGAATGTCTATTAATGGGCGAGAGGGGGGAGGGGGAGAGGGAAGCTATGCTGTTTATGTAAAACGGAGAAACGAGAGAGAATGAGGGAAAGAGAGAGAGAGAGAGAGAGAAAAATAGAGAAAAACAACAACGATCGGTAGCACTGACCTGTGGTGATACTGCGGGTAATGCGGATGCCACGGATCCGTCGGGTACTCGTAGACATCACCGGGATGCTGACTATTCCAAAAGGAAGGGGGAAAGTTCCTCATGGACATGGGGGAGATATTTTCTGCAATAAAAAAGAAGACAGTTTCAGCGGTGCGCTTTTAATGGCCCGTGCGAGAAAACGCGCGCGCCTACGAGAAATCCTCGAGAAGGAGACAGAGGGAGTATGCATGAAGAGAGAGAGTATGAGGGAGAAGGGTGTTACTCGTTTTCTTTTATATTCCCCGCGAGACTTTTATTTCGCTCTCAGAAAATGTCCGGGACGGTCCGGAAGGTCTTGTGTGCATCGGTCGTCCCTGCAATTCTAACCCTTCCTCGAGCGCGCGTATTTTGGCGCCTGTTCGCCGAGATCCCGATTCGAGAACGGTCTACTTGCGGCCATAAACGACACACACACACACACACACATACTTTCTCTCTCTTTCTCTCTGTCTTTCCGTTTCCACAATCGCGAGTAATTAAAAAGCGCCGTACAAGTGTGTCGTTAAGAAGAAAGGACTCGTGGGGCACACAGTGCCATAAACATCGACGCTACAGACGCCGGTGATCCCCGAGTGATGATTTCCACCGATAAACCCTGCCGTGCACTGTTCCCCCGACGGTGGACAGTCACCCTCGGGGAAACGAATTCCAGACGGCCGCGCGCTTCCACCAGAAACCTCTTCGTCTTAAGCGGCGGGAATAAATAACGTCACCGGCCGGCTAAATCATCGTAGTTTGTAACGGCGGGAGTAAATTAGCAGCCGGTATGCCTCGCCTAGAAGATAATCGAAGTGACTTTAGCCGGGAGATGAAATCGCGCGCGCGGGGAGGGAATTGAAGGCATAAATCGTGCTCGACTGCGCGGTCGACCTCGCGTTGGTCCAGCCTTCGAACGCGCGCTCCGATTGGTCGGGGATGGGCAGGAGGAAGAAGAAGAAAAAAAGAGAGGAGGAAGAAGAGAGAGAAAAAAACGAGCAAAAAGGGAGGAAAAGGAAAGGGAAGAAAAGAAGAGGAATCCGATGCGAGCGAAGACCGCGGAGAGGATCGCGGGAGGATACACGACAAGCTTCTGGCTTCGGAGTGGCCGCTTGTAAAACAACCGAGCGGTGCCCTTCTGCCTTCCGCCGATTCGATCCCGTGGGATCCTGCCTGCCCGTTTAGCGAGATCCTCCAAAGGCGACCCGCGTCCGTGGGAACGACACGGAATATTTTAATAAAGCCTATCGCGCGTCCGATCGATTCGGCAACTGCTCTATCATAATTGTTTAGAGTAATAGTAATGCGGGATTATAATGACACATTGATACGACACGACATTGACGATCTTGCGTGAAATGGTCTTTGGGAAACGGATCGACTACGAATTTGTCGAATGGTCCTTGGCCCCTCGTGTGATTCGTGGATCATTTGGGGATCGGCAAAAATTTGAATTGATTGTAAAATTTGATTGAATTGAGGACGAAACCTGAAATTTACATTTAAGAAAATAGGTGATAAGGAGAGCAGTTTTCGTCAATTTACTGAGAAATTGCGAGCGTATAAAATCGACGAGTTTTCCCGAAACGAATCACGAATTATATACGTCAACGATATTACAGATTTCCCTTTTCTATAAGTATGAATATTTTTTGTAATAAATTGTAATTTCCCTTTTCTATAAATATGAATATTTTTTGATATTTATGAACGTAACTGCGTATTAACGTATTTAGATCTGAAATAATGTCAAAATATCTTTTCCCGATTTCTTTCACTTATAGTTATAGCTAGAGAAGCTATGATTCTGTCCAGAAATGACCCACAAATCGCATGGCATTAACGAAAAACAGCGGATCGCATGAAGGGTTAATTCGTCGTTAAAGAAAATTTTTCATGCCGATATCTTGCGACACCTTGTATTTTATCCTTTTTTATGGGTTACGGTGGCCGGGGAAATGGAGAAGCACGCAGACGCGCGGATAAGCAGATATCTTTTATTATATGGATTTTGACACGAGAGCGACGTTTTACGATGACGACGACCCAACCGGCAGGCCGCGTCGAAGTAAAATACCGGGTCTTACATAAGCGAACGAGTTATAACGCGGCGAATTATAGCCCCGCGATAGCGTGGTAATAATACCATGCGATTAATTAATCGCACGCGAGCGCTAGCCCGAAGTATCTACAAACGAGTCATCAAATAATTGATTCTCGCTTACCAGCGAATGAATTTCCGTTAAGTATGTACAAATAGCGATAATCAATGCCGTATCTCGATCACCCTTGGCTACCCATCCTTTTTTTCTTTCATATGGATAACGTGTAGTATATGGGTGGAACATGCAAACGAAACTCAATTGAATAGAGAATGCCACACGATTAGCGAACAATTTTATCAAGCTGCAGCATGAGAATTAATTAGAAAGTTAATTAGACGATTAAAGAGGATTTGATTTTGAAAGTGCTTTGATAAAACCGAGCGTGGATTTCAAGTAAATATACCGCTCGTACGTCCCGTATGGAAAATTTTCTGGGGTCTCATTGGAATCTATTCTAATCTTCGAAAAAGTGATGGATTCTGGTTGGGAAATCTATAAAAATTCGGCCTGGCAATGTAATGTTTCAAAGAAGCGATTTTAAGTGAGAAATCCAGACAGATTTCATTTATTCTGCCTAATATCTTCTTAAAAGTTCTTCTTATAATTGGGATAAGAATTGAGACTCCTAATTGATATATCGCAATATTGTTAATAATTAATTTGTAATATTTATTAGGGAGAACTTTGGGCAATCTGATCAGAATCTATGTTATACTTGGGAATGTTTGGGAAATTTCCATACGGGGTGAAAGGTTCTTTGAGGAACGCCTGGAAAATGCAATAAAGCCATAATTAAAGAATCCCACGCGAGTATGATCTTTTAATCTTCGAGAGACAAACGGGGGAGACCCGGGGGAGGGGAGGGGGACTTCGTGGGACCCCGTTCACGGTCCCTCTTCTTTTCCGTCTAGTATCTGCCTCGGTCTCGGTTCGCCGGCTGTCCTTTATTTATTAACGCAATTAAAGAAACAGAGTGTCGACCGTCCCGCGGTCGGCTTTCTCCTTTGCCGGTGCCGCAACCGCGGAGAAAGGGGATATCGTACCAACGTGGAAGGGAGCGCGCGGGAGAGAACGAGGTAGGAAGGGTTGTCGAAGGCTGGTTCGCCAATAAGTATCCGCGTGTTCGGGAACTTCAGAAAACGCCGACATTTTAATCGACGGCTCGCCGTCCCCCGTCTGCCGCTTTCGCGATCAGGCTCGCTTCTAGATCTTAAACAGCGACACAATATATTGAAATGTTCTCGCGCATATTTGCGCGATTAATGTCCGATTACAAAGAACGTTTCTCATCGGGATCAAATTTCTCTCACCATCTCGTGATAATTAACCCTGACGGTGGCATGTTAGGCCTACCAGTTCTATACGCGTTTTCTTTCGCTTGAGACACTCCTTCTCCCTCCTCCTTTCGACGTTTTGGGAAAGACGCCATTTCTGTTCCTCTATTACTCAGGAAAAGTTGGGTCCATGCGACTACTGCTGTTATCAGCCTGATTAAATGAGATAACTTGTTTTTTGGCGACAAGCGCAATATACCGGGTGTATCGAAACCGACAAACTTACAGGACAGATTCTATGTTGAAAGATATGTAAAGGAAGGTCTCTTAGTAAACGTACGTCTGCAAATGTAGCTTCGATGTCAAAATCACGGGTGTTAAAATCAGGGTTAAAGAATAACCTTGACGAGACCGTGCGAAATCTTCTCAATTCAATTTACATTTTATTATACACACAGATTATAAACTCGTGTCGTTGCTCGTTTCGTTGCAGGTACACGTAACGTTTTCTCTCGTTTTCTCTTTCTTTTTCTCGCACGCGGTCCTGAAAATAACAGCCCCGTACCTTCCTATCCGAGCAAAACGATCGCTGTTTACTTCCGACCGGAACTCGTCGTATTTTTCCGAGCCAATTATTCGGATTCCTTTTTAATTCCGCGGCAGCAACCCTTCTTCTCTCTCTCTCTCTCTCTCTGCCTCTTCCCGCCGCCACATCCTGCTTCTTCTCTCGCCTCTTTATTTTGGCAGTGCGCACGTTTAGACTCAAAGTTCGTTCAGTCCTTGTACGCACGTTAGCCGGCATTCCGCGGCTAAAACTGTCTCTCCCGCGATGTTACCCCTCCACCACTCCAAATCCCTCCTCCCTACCCTCCGTTTGTCTCATAGCAATGTTCTCCTTCAGCCCTCCGCCTCTTTTCCCAGCTTCTCCCAGAAGCTCTTAATTTACCTTTCGTACGAGCGCGCTCGCGGGAAGTTAACGCGCCCGGCGAAAGAGAAGGGCGAAGAGCGAGAGACGAAAGCGAGGAAAGCAGGATGGCAAGGTGGGAAGGAGAGAGAGCGGGAGGGAGGAAGGGATGAGGCGTAACAATTAGGTCGTGTTGTCTTGAATTCTAAGCAGGCTACTGAACTGATCCTCCGGTACACCGTGGTCGGGATAAATGCGGCCTTAAACGACACCGATATAGACGAGCTTGCCGATCGCTTGCCAAACCTGCTCGCGTGCTGACGATCATCCTCCCTCCCTCCCTCCCTTCCTCTCTCTCTCTCAGCCCCTCGCAACAACCCTCCCGCTCTGCCGCGCGCGCTCTCGAGCGGGCGTACGCGGCCGTGATGTTCCCTCCGCTCTTTCCTCCTGACTTGGCCTGCCCGCCCGCGTTTCAAGTCGAGTACGAGCGAGCTACAATTGTCACGAGGCTTGTTAGCCTTGTCGCCGGCTAATGGCGTACTTTATTACCCGCCACGAGACGGTATCGTCCGACTTCATCGAGGGATCGCAGGGGAAGCGAGAGCCGAAACGAGACGCACGGCCATCGGCTGCGATGAACGATGAGAGTTGAAATCGGAGCCGTGCGCGCGCGCGCGCGCGAAATAACTTCGCTCGAAATTGCGTTGTTTAACTTACCGTTAGTCGCAAGTGTATCCAATAGACACGTTCAGGCTACGACATATCATCGTTGCATACACGGCTTCAAGATCGAACTCGTCCTAGTCAATATTTCTTTTCTTCGTTCTCTTTGTTCTTCACTGTTCTTTTATGTAGAGGAGACCAGGGCTAGTCGGCTAAGGGGGTAAGTTAGCTAATCAATTATTTCTGGTATTTTTTAACAGAGTACAGAATCGAGCAAGCAGAGATTTCAAACGTGCCCACGATGGTTGTGAAATTCCTGCTTGCTCGATTCCGCAATCCGTTGGAAAACAACAGAAATAATCAATTAGCCAACTCAGAGGCGATACCATAGGACTCCGTATGGATTTCCTATAGGTTCCCACCTGATCGTTTCCTTTTTTTTTCAACAGGGTTGCGACTAACGAGAAATTAAGCACGAAATTGCGACGCGTTTCCGAACGAGTCGTCGCTTTCCCCGACGAGTTCCCCGACTCTTTCCCACGTCTCCGACGCACATATCCTCGGTTTCTCGGTTAGGGGGAGGACTCACCCTTTAGCTTGTCGTGCGCGAGGGCCCGCTGAAAGTGTTCCTCGACTTCTGACGCCGCGTCGCCTCGGTAATGCGTGAACACGACGCAGTTCGCGTTGACGTATTGCGCCCTGCTCTCGCCGTCGTCGGAGTCCTCGGTGGCGGTGCCGGCGCCTACGCCTGCGGACAGCGTTGCATTTACGTACGCGTATCGCCGATCGGAAGTGAAATGAAACGACAGTTGTTCGATCCCTACCGTCTGTCGATCTGTCGTCGTCCAACGTTCGCGACGGCTGCGAGGTGGTAGTGGTGGCGGCGGCGAGGGGTGGTCGTGGCTGCGGCGTTGGCCTTGGGGATGCGGGACTCGGTGCTGAGCCCACGGAGCCCGCGCTGCTCGGTTGACCTTGGGGGACGCTTCCGCCGGCGCCGCAAAGCTCGATACCGGCGGTTTCCAGGGACCTTTGGTGAACGTTCAGCTGCAACAGAAAATGATCGAGGCGAGATTACTCCATGGCAAGTTTTGCGATCTTTTGTAATTATGCTTGGAAAAAATCACGCGGGACGAGCGCAACGCGCTGGGACGGATCGAAGACACCGCCTTCGAACCTTGACGATTTTATGCTGCTCTCGGCTCGTCCTCACCTTGAGTATGATCCCATTATCAGATTTCCATATCAGAATGGCCATTCTATCCTTCTCGAGCGTGTTCGAAGCCGATTTTTCAGAAGAGTCAATTTCATTTAAACCCATGCATACGCCATGAGCACGAATCGTTATTATCGTCTGAGCTCAGGTTATTCACTTTAAAAGGCAGAAGGGTTCTTATGGAGCTTTTATTTTTGTTGAAAATCTTGAGAGACCTGGTTGAACGTTTAGAATTATTGGAATCACTCTTATTTAATATCCCCGCTAAGTTCCTTGGAAAGAACATCTTCATACCATGATACATCATACTCTTTACGGTAAATTGAAATCAATCGTTTATATTTGCTTACGAGCTCGCTCAAATGTAATAACCGATATTTATCACATGTCATTATCTTCATTTATATGCAAGACGACTGCTATTAAGAACAAATATCGAAATGGCCTATCAGAGTAGAAGTACGGCCGTTGCTATTAAATATTAATATTATTCATAATATGCCGGATGGAATTTAATAAATTCCAAAATAACATATAACGGAGAATGATATCTGCCGTACCAAAGGAATTCCTCTCGTAAATAAATAAAATTAATAATCATTCCGCATTTCAGACACTTTACGACCGTCACGTATGTTTCCCGAAGCTTAACGTGAAACTTTCACAGCCTCACTTTGTCTCTCGGCTCTCCAGGATTCTCCAGAGGCGAATCGTAGTAAAAATTCTCTCTAGATTTCTATCGACAGCCTTGGTTTCACGGGGCGTGAAACCGCGGTCGACCGCCGTTTGCCTCCGCGATGAAATGCGCCCGGTCCGGGAGTGGAAATAAAAACGATTGAGGCGGACAAACCCCCGCGAGAAAATCATCGGAACGATATCGTTATTGCCCGCGCGAACGTGCGGGACGCGCGCTGTTTATCGATTAACAGGTTAACGATACAGGTTAACCGGTTAGACGCTTGGCACTTGACCAATCCTTAATGACTGCTACTTAACCGGTTTAATTGGTACAATTTACGCGCGACACGATATCGGTATGCTGATTATTATGACGAATCGGCCGCGTGAACGGCAGTTTGGGGAGCGAAAGCGGCGCAAAGGGTGAGAGAAACCGTGAATTCTGGGGATTCCGCGACGGCGGGAAAGTAAGGAGTCGCGTCCGAATGGTCCCGGAGGCTTTCTAGCCGCCGAACCGTCAGGATCTCCTCGTCCTCGGAGAACGAAAGTCGATCGAATTTGAAGACTTCCCCGACTTCGACCCGTGGAACATTGTGAAATCTCGCTGGCGGATGTAGCGATCGGCAAAATTCTCGAGCGGCAAATCGCGCGTCGGGAGCCAAAGAGCAGCGTGGCCGAAGATCGCGCGGCGCATTACTCGCGTGGCATAGTGATCGCGATGATGGGGTGGCAAGAGAAATACGAGCGTGTAAATACCGGCGCGTTTTAACGGCGATAGCCGGGATTTTCCGCGTGACATCGGGGCCATGCGTTTTCTCGCGCTATAAAGAGAATGTCGACGACGGGCGACGGTAGCCCATTGACTTCCACGTTGTCGACGCGCCGCCACTTCGACGCCACCGGAGTCGCCCGCTGATTCAACTACCCTCCCTGCCGGCCGCAGCGCTTTCCCGTTGAGCGCGTGCACGAGATGCGCAATATTTCCAATGTCGCGACGTGAGACATCAGATCGGAATCGAGTTTTCTTCACATCGTTCGTCGCTGCACGGCGACAAATTTTCTGTTAAAAACGGCCCACGAAATTTTGCGACACTTTAACGTGAAGGGAACGTTACTTTCCAACATATTCACCTTGTCAAATTAACACGAGAATTTGCATGGACCGCTTGGGACCGTAAGGTGTGTCGAATTTAACATACTTCTTATTGTGCAGCGAACGTGTCAACCGTGAGAGTAACACCCGTGATTTTGACGCTGAAGCAACATTATAAGTCTCCCGAGTCGACGTCGCGAAAAAAATCGTAAAAATCGTGGTTTCTTGCTCATTTTTTTCAAGTACTTACATTTATTAAGTTTATCGCCAATTTTTGTATATTAACTTTGTAGACTAGGAGATTGGAGACCAGTTATTGAGACAGACTGATAACAGCAATGGCCACATGAACCCAACTATTTTTTCTGAGTAACAGAGAAATAAGACTGAGATATAGCGTCCCGCAAAAANGGGGGGGGGGGGGGTTAAGCGAAAAAAAAACCAGGACTCGTAGGGCCTGACGTGTCAGGGATATAAACTTGGCGTTCTAATCGAGGACGCTTCATATCAGAAATTAAAGCGCTCAACTCTTCAGCGCAATGAATCGAGCTTAATTAACGTAAAGAGATAACGGACGTATGAATAGTCCTGAGGCGTCCGTTGAGTTTCACCGGCACGGTAAATGAGTTTAGATTCTTCTCGGGATATTCAGCGTTGATTTGATCGTGCGGTAGCAGTAGATGTACCTCTCATTCGGCCGTTCGATTCCGCGGGAGCAAAAATGCGCGTCGATGTCCAACAAATCACTGGGAATCATGCTTTACCTCTCGCTGTCGTCGTCGTCGGCGCCGACGACGACGAGCCGAGCGTTTCGTTCGCTACCCCGCCTAACCAATTACGTGCATGCATCAGCGGCGCACGGAAATAAGCTGACGCTGATGTATGTGCCGGTCGGCGGAAGGACGGGGGGGGGGCGGAAGGGGGAACAGGCGATGAAGAAGAGGAAAAAGACGAACGAGCACGCCTCCGAGAGAGATGCTATCGTTATCTACTCCAATAAACTCGGGTCCGACGTTCCACGGTGCAGTACATCATCGCCATGTTGCGCACAAAGTGATGACGAGCGATGACCCGTGCGAGAGCGAGCGAGCACGGGGGTAAGCGTCATCGAATGAAGGTATATCCGCTTGTCATCGTGGCCTTTGCGACTGCTGATTGGTAGGCGGTTCGCGATGAAAGGCGGGAGAGCCTTTAAACTCGCTCTTCGTGCGCGCTTGCAAACACCGCCGCTCGCGAGTTCGCGCCATTTGTTCGCGACTCGATCGGCCCGCATTCCTGGCGATTACGTCAGAAGTTACGAACACTATGTTACAGTGGTATCCGTCTCTCGACATGGTCGACGGGTGTCGCGTGATGAGAATCGAGTACGCGCTACTTAGGGCTCATTAGCAACCCTCTCTCTCTCTCTCTAATGCCCCGATTCGAGAGATTACGGATTCCATTTTCCCGTGTCACAATTTCAAACATGATCGACGAGGCAATCTCAAGGCGAGAAATAGTCGTCCGTCGATAATTTATCGGGAGTTCCAGCTCGAGAAGGCTTCGAAGTAACGCAGCTTGTCCGATCGTCTCGTAGGACACCCCGCGCGAAATTCAGCGCTCGCGCGGGGATAAAAGAGAAAGAGAGAGAGAGAGAGAGTGTGGGAGATTAAATCAAGGAGCAGCGGGTCTTTTCCATAGATTACCACGGTAGAACATCCAGCGCGCCGGTCGGCCGGACGACAATGTGGTAATTAATTGAAGCAAGACCGTCCCCGACAGCCTCTCTTCCTCTTTTGCTTTTTCTCCCTTCGCTCCGCAGCCAACGAACAGCTCTAGCCAAGAGAGCTGCTCGCGGCCTTTCAAAGCATTCCAAAGCGCGAGTCCGCCCGTTCCTCTCCACGGCCTCCGCTCGCTTCTTCTTCTTCTTGCCCTCCCCCATCCCACCCTTCCTCCCACCCGCCCTTCCTGCCGGTGTCGAGTCATTTCACGAAAGACCTGAGGCCGCATCTTTATTTCTTTCCCTTTTGTCTTATAGATTTACCAGGACTATGGTGTATCATACGGATCTCAGGCTCCCACAGATCAGCAGCGCTTCTGATCCTAAGTTAGCCGGTTCCGATCGTTCTTTCCATTTGAAGTTCACTGAACTTGGTCTCGGACGCAAGTTGAAGCAATTTGTTAACCCTCGATTGGTAAAAGTAGGGTCGGATCCGACCCCACAGTTTCGTTTATTATTTTTTACTTCATTCTATTATTTATTAAGTTTAGTCATTGAAAAATATATATCGTTGTAAGGAGCGGAATGAGAAAAGTGAATATGTAATATATGAACGGATTCTTGATGAAAAGAAGGAAAAATACAGCAGCGGCAAATATTAATGATAACAATGAAGATGAACCAATAATGATTCGACCGAGTTATTACAAACCATATCGCGAGTAAAATGCAGCCGAGTAAAACTTTAAAACACGAATGAGCAAAAACTAGATCAACAAATTAAAATTGACAAATGACAACGACAATTTAATCAAAGTTATAAGAATAATAAAGTAAAAATCCACAAGGTTGTAATTTGAAAAGTACTCATTCATCCGGGGTCCTTCGGCCTTTAAATCCGTTTTTCAACGCTTCGATATTCCCTGAGTCTGGATTTGCCTTCGACCGTCGATTAGCCGATTTCCAAGTCGCGAGGGGACTCTCAGCCTCCACGGATGCTCAATACACCCTCCTCGCCCATGTCCGGGCGACGTCATCGGTGCCGCGTAGCCAGGTGCTATTTATCGCCTCGCGCGGGTACGACGGGCAGCACGCCGAAGCGGGTAACGAGCGGGTAATCCTTTAGTCAAACCGCAGGCCGCGCGTTTGCATTTATATCGCGAGCCGGCGATATTATTCACGAGAGTATCGCGCGTCCGCGGCGGAACACATTAAGCCGGGATACCGGCGCGCTTCTTTCGCGGCGGAATACCCTTATCAGCGGGTGGCGCACCGTTTACTCATTTGTGGACGTCTGGTAGCACTTAGCTGTTATTATGAAGCGGAGTCCCGCGGGAGAGATAAAGCGGATAGTACACGCT